CCTCAGTGAGCAGCTGTGAGGGTAACTCAGGACACTCCTGCAGCGGTCACAGGGCACACATCTCCACATGGCCCAAAGTCCTGGGACCCCAGCTGGTTCCTGCATCTCAGCAGGTTGCTTTTTCTAGTCACACACCCGTGGTCAGATTTCTAAACATGGACCTAACGTATGATGCAGATCATCCACTTCTGGGTATTGATCTGAAGCAAAGGAAAACACGACATCAGAAAGATACATGCACCCCCATGTCCATGTCAGTATGATTTGTAACAGTCAAGTCATGGAAACAACCTAAATGTTCGTCAAAGAAAGAATATATATGAATATTATTCATTCTAAACATAGACAGACCTTCAGGATGATAAGCTAAGTGAAGTAAGTCTGACAGAGGGTGACAAATAGCAAACAAATATCACACTTATAGGTGGAATTTAAACAAAACTGAAAACCCAGAACAAAAAAATGAATCCACAACCAAAATGAACCAAACCAAAACCAACCAACCAACAAACAAACGAAAAGCTCAGAGACACAGACAATGGACTGGTGTTTGCCAGAGGCTGGGAGTGGGAGGTGGGAGAAATGGGTGCAGGAGGCCAAAGGGCATGGACTCCCAGCTGGAAAAGGAAAGCCATGAGCAATGGGGACCTGACTGTTTGTGTCCTTTGGTCCATCCTCCTTCCAAATCCCCTGCAGTGAGTGACTGTCACTAGGTGCCCAGGAAGGGAACTGCTGTGTCTCATCTGTTCATCACAAAGGTTTTTCAAATCTCATGGATAGCTTCTGCATGTCTATAACAAGTAATTTTGGGGAAGGAGGAAATCCAACCTATGCATCAAACTGTCCAATGGTATTGAATTCACTGTTTCCCAATAAGATGGTCTATTCCACGGTTGGGCAACTAATTCTTTTTTCTGAATTATAGAAATTCTCAGGGAATTGAAAACATCAATCAAGTTTTTAAAATACATTTTTGGAGCACATGTATTACATTAAAAATCTCTGTGATTTACCCTGTGAATTATGAAGACAGTTTTTCTTTCTTATGATTTGAATTCCCAAACCTAGAAAATAGGTGACAACCCATGACAATCCATTTCACGGCTCAGGGACACCGCACGTGTAGCTCAGAGACAGTGATTTTGGCATAGTCACTAAGTATGTACATTTATTAATAGATTCAAGTAAAGTATTACTAAACTTATATATCTAAAGAGCACACTGCAAATAACCACCATACTATGAAAATCTGTGAAGAATTTAAAAATGTGGTGCAACAGGCCACCTCATACTCTTGAAACTGCGACCCTGTGGCCGAGCCCACACACTGTCCCATGCGCCAGCACAGCCGACATCCGATGGGCGAGGCCCTTCTGAATCCTCTCTGTTGCCAGACCAGGCTGTCTCTGCTTTATAAATGCAGTCTGTTTCTACCAGGTAACTGAGATATCTAATTAACAAAACATAACTTCAAGGCCCCTCTAGTTCACAGGCAGGAATGTTACTACATGGGAACTGTCTGCTGGTTTTGAGTAGAATTGGTGGCACGAATGAGAGAAGGACACAGGACTTAAGAATACAGACAGAGACGAGTCACTGTTTGCAGGCATCAGCAAGGGAAATGGAGAATGGCCGTCAGAGGTGACCAGGGCGGCCATCGCTGTGGGCGTGGGCTCTGCTGAGTTCCCTCCCAAACAGCTCGCCTGAGGGCCCAGGCCAAGAAGCGCTCAGACGTGGATTTATTTGTTGAAAAGCAAATGCTGTTTCTCTCTCAAATGAGAGGAGGGAGGAAGTGTTTTAATAAGCAGCACCAGGGATGGAGGAGGAGGGTATATTTGCAGTCATAAGAATCTTAACTGTCACAGTGAAGCTGAAAAATACACAACAATATTTTTACTGATTTTTTACTACCATACATACATGTTAACATATATGTATCATATTTATGTATCATATTCATTTGGTTTCCAAGTACTCTCATCTTATAAACCATGACAGAGACTGTCAGGGTTTAAATGTGTAAAATGGCATCATTACAGAAGGGAAATCAAGATGAGAAAGTAAATGGTATGTTTGGAAATACAAAAATCTGACCAAATCTTTATTGTTGAATTGTCTTTTTAACCATTGTTTATACTGACTACATTTAAATAACTTGTAAGTTCTCTCAACATCTTTTTTAATATCTTAAGTATTTTCAAAATTAACCATCAAGAAGTACTATTATTCTTCCTTGTAGCTTAGAAATCGGGACAACAGAGGACTGTACTACTTTCCAAATGTGTAGCAAGTCAAAATTCTCTAGAAGGCTGTTTAGAATCCTAAACACTCCTGTGAGGTCCAAAACGTATCCTCAGAAAACACATGTCTGTGCAAATTGTTTTCCAACCTCTGACTGCAGTTGGAAGTCAAATCACAGTTTTCAGTAATGACCTGAGATTGTTAACCATTTTCTGAGTTTTCCTGGATTTGTGAATGGCAGTTTGGGAGAGACTGTGTCCCGGAATGTTAACATGATTGAATATGTAACAGAAACTCTCGGGAATAACGTCATAAACATGGAAATAGAGATACTTCTCAAACCTTAATATGGATAAAAATCCCCCATGGACCTTCTGAAAGCACAGACTCTCGCAACAGCACACATCTCTGACTCGGTGGGGCAGCTGTGGGAGCTCAGCAAGCTTTCAGCAGGGCTCCCATTTCACCACTAGAGGAAACAGTGAGGGTCGGCAAGGTCAAATCCATGAAATGGTTGTGTGTTTGGTTTGTGGTTTCCTGCCTGGGGCTGCAGTGCTGGGGCTGACCACCAGGGGCAGGCTCTGCCCTGCATGTTCAAAGGAGAAATGGGGCAGGGAAGGGACTTGCAGAAAATATTCTGGGCAGCTCCTTCCCTCCAACCAAAATACACATTTTTTATGAGCTCCCATGTCCACAAAGTGAGAAGCTCAGAAGCAGGAGTGGCTTCAAGACTCTCGTTCTTGATCCAGCTCCTTTGCCTAAAGAATTCACCTTGAAGGAGGCCCTGCTGGGACAGGGGCGGTGCCTCCAGGGCACCCAGGGTGCTCTGTTTCCAGAAGCTCATGGCCTGGAGGGGTGGGTGGGAAATGACAGGAAAGCAAATGTATGTAGGAAAGAAGAGCAAGGGCCCTAGTGAAACAAAGCAAGTGCTGGAGGGAGGGCAGGACCCCAGGTGGCGCCCACAAGGCCTGCTTGGGGGCACTTGTGCTGTGAGCTGAAGGACAGCAGGAGCCAGCCCTGCACACGGCTGGAAACAGTGTGCCCGGGGAAACTGAATTCAGGGTCTCAGAGGCAGAAGAGGATTCATCCAGTGGCTGGACAGAGAGCTGGGCCTGGGGTGGGAGGAACAGGAGGTCAAGGCCAGGCCAAGCCTAAAGAGCTGTGAGTAGTCTCTGCTGTGTGACAGCATCGCCCTAACTTCGCACTGACAAGACACAGTGTCTCACAGTCTCTGTGCCCCAGACCTTCTCAGCTCAGCTGGGAGGCTCAGCTCAAGATCTCCTGGGAAGCTGGGGCTGTGGTTTTTTTGAGAGGAAAGACTTGGTACTTCTTGCCAATACATGTAAAGAATTATAGGTCAGCAATTCTATTAGCATGCAATCTAGGTTGATTATTAGTGATCTGTTCCCGTGGAAGAAAACGGGTCTAGCTAAGTTGGGGGTGGAAGTGAAAGGCATAGGTTCAGGGCAAAGCAGGATGGCAAAAGTAAGGATGGCCAAAGGCCCGGGTGAGGAGGCCCGGGTGGCCAGAGCCCTAGTGGACTGAGGCCAGGTGGCCAGAGAGCCCAGAGAGCCCAGAGAGGGAGTCCTTTGTTCTAAGGACTTATGAAGAAGTTACATATTGATTGACAGATAAAGGTGGTGTGGGCTCTCCTGGGGGACATGATTACCCAAACTTAGGGATGTGTGGGGGTCTGTTAGTCCTAATCTTTATGTTGCTCCAGACTCCATTTGTTCATCTCGTTTTAAAAGAGCTACCTGACAGGAGGCAGCTAATTAAAGCTGGGGCAGTTCCCCATAGAGATTTACGGGCTCTTTCTGTAAGCACTGAGGACTCCCTCGTAAAACAGATAGTGACCAGAGGCAGGCAGTTAACCAAAGCTGTTTCATGGGCTTCTTCTTTGGGCACTGTGGACCATCTCCTGCCTTTCAGCTCAGTCTCAGAGAGCTCCCTGTGCTGTCTCCTGCCTCAGTTCCATCTGAGATTCTGCAAATTTGGGGTCTGATTCTGACCAACCATGGTTATTGGCAGGATGCAGATGACTGAGCGTTTCAGGTGCTTTCTCTCTATGGGCATGGACCCCCTGTGGGTTCGCTGCACTGGGGCCTGGTGGGAGCGGGCATTGCATCTGATCTCGCTTCTCCCAGCATTACTAAGGGGGCAGGAATCCTGTGACACTGGACACAAGCTGATCACCACACAATCCGTGTGAATTGCTGCCAACACAGTGTCTCTAAGACAAACAAGCTGTCTCCCATCCTCAGAAAGTCTCAGCTGGTCCAAGCTTCCCGAACTCAGAATCAGGAGGAGTGATCATCCTCATTAGGTCCCACCAGCAAATGCAAATATCCCAGTGTCCTATGGTGTCCTCCCATCAGGCTTTATTGGGGACATTTACTACAGTGGGCTCAGCAGATCCACAGCCCTTCTACACTGTCCTGAGCCTTGTGAGTAACAGATGTGGTTACAGCCAGGGGCAGCTGGATGGATGTGGGGTCCCACTCCTGGAGAAGCATATGTTCCATGCCCAAGAGGCTCTGTTGGTAATAAATGATGTGGGTGAGAGGTGGTGCAGGGACACGTGATGGAGGAGAGTCAGCAGCAGCCCTGGGGAGACACAGGGTGGGGACTCCAATCTGTATCCATGGCACCTGGAGACTCTGTAGAGTGAGATCCCTGGGGGAGGCCCAGATGGCATTCCCAGGGGGTTCAGGTCAGGCCGCACTGAGACACATTTCAGCCACCTACAGAGGGTTGTTTCACACAAGCAGGATCTGAAGCCACAAATAGGCAGACCTGTCCTAGGGGACAGGAAAGAGGAAGAGGGATGTGATCCTGAGGGGCCATGTCCAGGATCCCCTGAGCAGCTCACCTGTGCAGGGAGAAGGGTGAAGACAGGAAGACTCCAGGCCGGGGCAAGATTGTCCCCAGACAGGAAGAGTGCCTTCTTGAGCCATGGCTGTGTGACATAACTCCCCCACACATCTCTGGTTCTCATTCACATGTTTTATTGGGTGCGTCTTCTCCAGCTGGATCTCCCCAAATTCTGAACGTCTCCAGCCTCACAGACATCTTGGCGTGACCCTTCTCCTGGTGGGATGAAGAGAAAGGTCAAGATTACAGATCCTGCCTTAGAGATGGTGGAGCCCCCTGTTTTTAAATCCTCACCTAGGCACGTTTATTGATTTGAAAGACAGAGGAAGAGGGGTGAGAGAGAGAGACAGAGACTGATGTGAAGAAGAAACATTTGTTTTGTTGTCTCCCATACAATCAAACCTGCAACCTAGCATGTGCCCTGGCCAGGAATCAAAATTGCAAGCTTCCTGCTGCACAGTACGATGCTCCAACCAAATGAGCCACTTGGTCAGGGCCTGAGGGAGCCTTCTGAAGATATCCTGGTGCACACGGAGAGCTCATACACAATCATATTTCAATATAGAGGAGATTCTGTTGGCTCATCATCTCTGGAGCCAGAGAAACCTGCTTCTCTCTGGAAGAGAGAACAGGTCCCAGAAATAGGCCACAATGGGCACAGGCAGGTGGAATTAAACTCACTCTTGCAGCAGTTTCCTGGGAAATGGGCCTGGGGCACGCTGGGCCCACTCACCCACCTCTGACCCACCAGAAGCCTTCAGCCCACCCAGGCCTCTGACCCAGGCCTAGACCCTGGTGGGCATGAGGGGGTTCAACCCCCTCCTTTCTTGTCTATTCTGCCCCTGGGGGTTATGCAGCCCTGAGACCTGATTGAGACCTGTGTAGACATGAGCAGGCTGAGAAGATATTAACAATGGAGAAACACGATATTTAACTATAGACAATAAGAAAAATATTACACATCCATGGGTCCTAGGAAACGTTGCCAACTTAAGAAGTGACAACAAGTGCCAACCTAAGTTAGACTTGCTCCCAGGAAGTAAACAGTGACAACCACGGGCAGAAAGTGCACAGCGAGGGTTTTAGTCTCACTTCCCTATGACTCTGGAGCATCGTGTAAGTACTACTGCTGCTGTGCCACGTATAACAGTGATAGTCGGCCTCATCCTCGGGCTGTAGGCCAGAGATGAGCAGGAGCCCTGCATTGGCCGAGGTGTCTTTGGACCCAGAGAAGCGGCTGGGGACTCCCGAGCCCTGGTGCTTGTCTGAGTCTGATTTGTAAGACAGCAGATACCGTGGAGCGCTTCCTGAGTTCTGCTGGAGCCAGCGTATGACAAAGTCACCAACACTGAATCCGCTGCTGAAGGTGCAGGTGAGTCTGGCTGTGGCTCCAGGAGATGCAGACACAGAGTGTGGCTGAGTCAGCACAGGCTGGGAGAGGGAACCTGCAGACACACAGACACGTGGAGTGAACACAAGGTCAGGGTACAGGTGCTGTGGGTCTCTGGGGCCCATCCCTACCTGTGCAGTGACAGATCAGCACAAGGAGCAAGGGTGACCAGGCCATGGTGAGCAGGCTGCTCCTCATTCCACACAGCTGGGGCTGGGCTGCCCAGGCCTCTCTTATCCCCTCCCAGCTGGCTCCATGGGGGAGGGGCTGCTCATGCAAATGAGTCCTTTCCCCTGCATTTTCCCCAGGTTCAACTGCAGGCTGTGGAGCCCTTTGTGGGGGAGGCCAGCCTGACACATTGGTTTCCCCCTCAGTAAGGCTAGGAAGTAAGTAATGGTTGGGACCACACAGAGGGCTACATGTAGGCAACTGAGCCAGGTCCAGAGAGGACGTGCCCTGCCCTGTGCTCACAGGAATCAATGTTCCCAGAGTTGAAGACTCCTGTCCCTGGAGGACTGCCTAGCCAGGAGCTCCTGTTTTGCAGAGGTTGTCTTGTGGCGCCCTCTGCTGGTCTCCAGGTAAACTGCTCCTCTTTCAAGCTCATTCAGCTTCTAGCCTTCACCTGTCTCCTTGGCACCTGTATTTTCAATACTTAAGTCATTGGTACAGGGTAAAAGAGCCTTACAGGGGAGAATGCAGGCACAGTCCTGGTGTGACCCTCAGGAATTCGGGCACACATGACTCCTGACCCAGGAGAGCCTGAGGACTGCTGGGGAGTGAGGTCACACATGAGGGGAACAGAGAGCAGAGTGGATATGGAACCAGGGCCAGGCCAGAGCCTGGATCACTGCAGCAGTAGGACCCTGGGAGAGGAGGGTGGATGAGGCTCCAGAGGTTCACTCCCAATTCTGGGTCCTCTGCCCAGTTTGTAGGTTCACTCTCAGGACATGGCTAGTGTGCTTGTGAGCTCTGAGTCTGACCTTTCAGAGGGAGCACCTGCTGTCACCTCTAGCTGCCAGTGAGCATGGATCAGGGTCCATCAATTAGAATCACTAGTTATTTCAGGCCTTGCTGCTCTGAGAAGATCCACAGCGCCCTCTGGTGACCACCCAAGAGAATGTTAATGTTAGGGGAATAAACAGAACACAAGACTAGTGGGACAGGGTTGGATTTTCTTGAAGTCCCTTCCCCTCTTCTTTCCTCCTTTCCTCACATTCTCCCTCCCTCCCTTCCTTCTTTCTTTCCTGTCAAGCCATGTTCCTGATGGCCAATTCGATGCCAACAAGGATTCCACTTTGTGGTGTGGTCCAGGGGGAAACTTTGTTCAGTACCAACAACAGCGATACAGCATGGCTATGGAAACAGCCCTGCTGTGGAGCAGCCCAGCTGTGATGCAGCAGAGTGGTGAGAACATAGGGGTGCAGAACAGTTCTGCCACTAGGTGGCCCTGAACCAGGCCACTCTGACTACATAGCTCTGCTAGGTTTTCCTATGTTCCCTGCCTTGTGCCGCCTTGGTTAGTCCACTCTGCACTGGTCACTTTCACTCTGCTCTGGGAAGACCACTTCAATGTTTGAGCTCAGCCATGCAGATGGTCTTCATTCTTCAGTGGCAACTGCACTCACGGAACTATAGGGAATCCAGCTCATCTGAACAGGAGCTTCGGATCCCTCGTCTCTGACTATTCCATCCTCATACAAAGGGTGCCAAATCCTTACAGTTTTTTTTTTTTTTGGCCCAAAAGGCACTGTCCTGACTGATCAGAATAGAGATGCTGTGACTGGATGTGGAAAGCCTCAATCCTATTGTGTGATTTGAATTCCAGGAATCCTTTCTAAGGGCTGGTTCAGATGGCAGAAACACAGGGCAGGTAGGCAAGTTGGCTCAGAGGCAGGTAGTTTGGTAAGGAGGTAGTTTGTGTGAGAGGTTGCTACACAGAAATGCGGCACATTTCTCTGTGTTCACAGCCAATCCAGGAATCCACCTGTGCAATAAGCATTACAGAAAGCAAGCACAGAGACAACTGTATTATACATATTGCTAACATTTTGCATATAATGTTTTCTTTCTCACATTTTGTATTGAGTCAATCTGAAATTTTCCTAATCAGATATTTAGGGAGAAGACAAATAAGGTAAATCATAACATCACATGTTTCCCCCCTCACGGCCCAGTGCTAGAATCCTGAAGGGAAGTCATGCAGTGATAGGTCTGTGGCTTGTTAGAACGGCAATTTTTGCACACACCGAAGTTTTGGTCTCTGTGGGTCTAGTCTGGGGAATTGCATTCCCAGCCAGCCCAAAGGTAAGTGGGAAACGACATATGTATGTGGTTTGAGTATCAAATCAATGAGAGAAAACCTGTTCCTGCCCTTTAAACAGAAGAGTCTTCCAGGGAGTAGACAGATCTGAGACTCACTGATGGTTAATGTATTTGGGGGTCCAGGTCCTCCCCAGCATCACCCTAGAAAGAAGGGGAGAGAAGACCCAGGCTTCACGGGGTCACACGGGGAGAAGGACACACCCTGGGAGACGGGAGGAGGCACATGGAGATGAGGCACTGGATAGAAACCAGAGCCAGGGAGCCAATCCCCATACTGTGAGGACCATTTCCACCCTCTCTCCTTTCTTCTGCCTCTAAGGGTTCAGCCCTTCTGAATTACGAGGCGGTTTTAGATGCACTTCTCCATGAATTCACATCACCATGTAAACATCAGTATTACTATCCACATACACTGCACAGTAATAGTTGGCCTCATCCTCAGGATGAGCCCTGGTGATGGTGACGGGGGCTTTGTTCCCAGACAGGGATGATACAGTGAAGAGATCAGGGACCCCAGAGGACCAGCTTTTTGTGTTATAGATGAGCATGCGGGGAGCCTTGCCTGGAGTCTGCTGGTACCAATTGAGGTTGTTAAACCCAGAGAGATGTGTAGAACTAAGGCCACAGGTGAGTGTGACCATCCCTCCTGAGACACAAACAATGATGGCTCCTTGGTCACCACAGGCCAAGATCCATACCTAAAACCAACAATAGCAGACAGACAGTTATTGTTGAGGAAGAGAAGGGTCACTCTGAGATGGTGCTTGTATTTGTTCCCAACTCCTACAGTGCAGAGTCCCTTCCTCTGACCTGAGCTGTAAGCAAGGAACCCAAGCAGGGGCACCATCTGGACCATAGTGGGGATACTCACAGGACACAGCCTTCTGCTCCTGGGCTGGAGGGTGGTGTCCTTGAGGTCTTTTCATGCTTCCTGGGCCCATTGGGAGGAGGAAGTGCTTCATGCAAATCAGGTTCCCCTCTCCTGTCCTGCCCTAGTGTCAGCCTGATGTCCCCTGGGGATCATCTAAAAAGAGGGAGAATCTGGCACCTCACACAGACCAATGACCACACAGTGACTTGTGTGATTGGCAGCTGATGTCTTCCTCCTAATAAGCTTCCTCATGACTCTAGTGACCTTATTCCTGAGAGTCTTACCTGCAGTGGCTGAGGCTGAATGATGAGTTGCATGTGTTTACCTTTTGGCCCCAGCGATCTAGTTCATTTCAGATCTAACCCCGATCCTGAGAACATCTTCTTCCTTCCTCCATGAGAACGCTTTCTTTCTTCTTCGGAAAGAATTAGCAGTTACTCCTTTTCTACCTCCGATGACATCTTGTAACCTTCTCCAGTAGCAGCGGGGGACCAGGCCTTGGGCTGTGCACTCTCAGGCCTGTACCCCCAGCCTGGGGAGGGCAGACCACCTGTGCCCTGGGAAGACACAACTCTATGGGGTCTCTTTAATGTAACTGTGGGTTTTGAGGAGCAAAGCTCAGAGGGTCACCATGAAATTATGAGACACCTGGCAACATCATATGTAACAAAATAAGAAGATACTTGTCTCATGATCAGAAATATAAAAAAAAACACTCTGTTGGAACAAGTTGGGGGTAACATCATAGAACATTGAAACACTCACTTTCTCCACCTGCTGCTGTGGCGCAGAAGGAATGGGCAGAGTGGACAAGGGGTTTGCAATGGAAGAAACATGATCAGGAGGGTGAAGTGTCTCAGGTGACAGGTCCTGGCTGGTGTGGCTCAGCTGGTGGGAACACCAGCCTGTGCTGGAAAGGTTGCAAGTTCCATTCCCCTTCCATGTACCAACAGGAGGCAACCAATCAATGTTTCTCTTTCCCATCCATGTTTCTCTCTCTTCCTTATTCTTTCTCAAAGGCCTGAGCAATGTCCTTGGGTGAAAATAAAAACATATTAAAATCTCTCAAGTATTTGGAAATGAGGAATCACACAACTGGTGTTTAGCATACTTGAAATGAAAATATGATTTGTTATTCATTTTGAAATTGTTAATAAGTTTTGAGTTTAATTAAATGTGTATGACTTTTTTCTTTACCTTTGTATTTTATGAGAATCCCAACTCAGTTAACATTAAATATTCATACTGAAACATTTCATGATTACAAAACTATAGCTCTGATAGTGTAGATTATCACTAAAAGTGTAGATCAGGAGAATTCATACAAAATAAAATAAAAATGACAGGGCTGAAAACACAAACAATGTCAGTTTCCCTAAGTGACTAAAATATAAAAAAAAAATAAAAAATAGAATAATAAGAAGAAAAAAACTGATGTGATAACAGAAAAAATGGGCTAATGATTATGACACATTTCATCATGAGTCAACTGGATGCCATATCAACAAAAGGGATCCCTGAAATTTGTCACCCATACAGAAGTCTTCAGACATTTCCAGACACCACGGGTCAGTGAGTGTGTCCATGAGGCATATCAATGTGGGAATTAGGAGCCCATCAATTCCTATGGAGTGTGGAGGGGTGGTTAGACTGGATGGGAGACACACCAGGGGTGCCCCAGGAGCCCCTCACATGCAAGAAGGAGACTGAACAGTCTCCCTGTAGGTGCTGGAGGAGCTTTTCTCTCTGAAAGAACATGCTGGCCTCTTCACAGCTGCTGTTCCGTGAGTTCTAGGTCCAACATCCCCCAGACAGTGCACACATACCCTTGTCTCAGTCCAAATGTAACCAGGGAGACAAAGTGGGTTTTGTTGATATAACACAGATCCTTCTTGCTCATGTGCTGAATTGCTTGTGCAAGTATCAGCTGTGATCATAAATGAAATTTTCTGTTAGGCTGGAGTTCTTTGATAGTAAGATGAGAAAATATGTTGAGGTGACCTGCCCTCTATAT